AAGAGGGCTATATCCCCTCTGCTCCAGTTCTCCCTTAATCTCAGTATCCGAAAAGTTGACGGGAACTCCTTGAACCACCGCATGGATGTTCCGTTCCGATGGGAGAGGAAAAGTGTGATGGGGCACTTCTTCCTCTCAGAATAGGCGAACGATCTTACGGTAGTCGTCCTCGGATTTAGGAATAATCCTTATTCCCACATCAACGGCAACCGTGCGATCTATTTTAGTACCTAGGGAAATAAATTTGAAATTTAAAGTACGCCATCTCGTCCCGTCGCGTAAGTCGATCGGGGTTATGCGCCCTTGTCGTGAGGGTTGTGCTGATGCCACGACGGTTGGACGAGATGACGGAGGAGAAGTAACATCGGCTGACGGAGTCACCTGACAGGTAGATAACGTGGTCCCTGGCTTGGTAGTAGAAGCATTAATAGTGATTCGATTTGATGAATTGGGGGAGGTGTGAAATGGAATTGATCCTGTATTCGGAAGAGGAGGAAAGTCTTGGGTTGATCGATCAGCCTTGTTGCCTTTCCTCCTTCTTGATTTTGCTTTCACAAATCTGTCGATCTGGACGTCTTCGTCTGTGGATGTGAGATGATCATCAGTAACGTTTCTCAGTGGTCTTTTTAGGGTCTTTGTCTGTTCTTTAGGGGATTCTTTTGAATTTAGTAATATGGTTACCTGGGCGGTCAGACTGTCAATTTTGGCTGTCTGGTCCTTGATGGTCTCCATTAGGTCTCGAATCTGCCTCGCCTGGTCGTCTATAATCAGCATCAGTTTTTCGTTCGTTTTCTGCTCCGATGACATCTGCGTCAGTGAGATCATGTTTTCTGATTCTGCTCGGTTTCCGCCACCGCTCAGCTCTTTCCTCATAGTATGTTGAACTGCGTCGTCTGTTGATCCTCCTGGGTCAACTTCCATCTTTTAAAAACTTTTTCTCGCCAACAAATCTCTGAAAACTTATAGCTCGCAAATGTGACAATGTTGTCAAAACCCTTCTTACAGGGCGTTTCACGGTAGTGCATGTATGAAAATTGTAATAACTGAGTTCGTAAATGTCACAGAATCATAAATCTGGTGTCATTTGAACGATGACATGTTGTCCTAGCGATTATTGAAAAACTTGTTTTGATACTAACCGTCAAACATACTTAAAAGCCGACAAAACCAGAAAAAAATATAGAAGAAAATTGATTATTTTGAGTATTTCCGCACACCACTCAAAAACTAGTCTGTGAAGTTGTACTTTTTTGTGCTAATTCTGCAGCTTTTTGTCATCCTAAGTATTCTACGTTAAGCAGTAAATGCTATCTAACATGGGTCAAAATGGGTGTAATAAAATGCAGATTGTTTTCAAACTCTCTATACATAAAAATGACAAATCAATATTTCTTATGCACAGTTTGGACATGTTTAATGTTAGAGAAGCTGTTCAAAATATCCTCCATTATTGGTTATGCACATTTTTGTTCTTAAAACAATGTGTCGTGTTGAGCGGCAGATCATCTCCGTGTCAGGCGTAATTTCATTCGCAGCGGTATGAATCCATTTCAAGGGGGTGAGAGAGGACATTGTAGGGGGATTGGTCGATAAAAATGGCTGAAAAATATCAACCTCAAATATCGGTATGTCGTTACGGCTAATATATACAAACAAAGACGCTATGACTAAAATCTATTGAGAAAGCGTTATGCGGAAGCTTAATTATATCCAAAGTTCTATATTGTATTACCCTTCATTTTCTCGGTTTAGATGAAACCACTGCAAAACGAATACAAGATGTACAAACCAATTTAAGAAAATGTTATCATACTTCTCAGGGAGCGTTGATAGTACGGGCTGGTTAAACGACGTTGAGCTTTTCCATTACCAGTTACTCACACTTGCACACAAAACTAAAATGAATAAAAAGTAATTATATTTGAATAATAAACTTATACATAGCTTAACACGTTAACTGTCCATATGCAAATTAGTAACTCCACCCGTACGTCCACCATTAAATATGGCATGCTCCATGTGTGATTCATGGGACGTTATCCTAATATTGAGATTATGATAACGTCCAATGCGCCTCATATGGCTCATGCACATTAGACCAAAAAACAAAAGAAAGACGATTTTAACTTAACCTTAAATTATTTATTTACTTGGTGAACCTAGTAATTTTTTAGTGAACTAAAAATGTCTGAAAATAGAAATAAACTTACCGATAAGGAGCTAGAGTATTATGCATAGCATTGCCGATCCAGACTTTTGCAGCGGCAGTGAAAGTTCGAGTGAGCAGTCTGAGATGATTCAGACAGTGATGATATTGGGTTTGCTGGATTCAGTCATCAGAATGAGGAAGATTTTAGTTTATTTTGGTCGGATTGTGTTTTGCAGTGATAAAAAAATTCAGTTCACAGGAATCCAAGGAACATTAATTCCAATTGAAGGCAAATATGTACGAGATATACAGGGTGACAGTTAAATAGGTGTAAAACATTTTAGGAGGTGATAGTACAGCTCCTTTGCTATCAAAATTAGTATATAATACCATACCCTATATTCAAAGGTTAAACATTTATGGAAGATTTAATTTTTTTTAAAAAACAACCCTGATTACAAAGTAAAATAGTTGAGATAAAAAAAAGTTGGTGATTAACCATTCTTTTTTTGGTGGTTTCAGGTTATTATTTAAATAAATAATTCTCATAACTTAAAAAACATATGAAAACACTACTGAAAACGTATTTATTTTCATTTAAATCTTAAATGAACATTTATATTTTCAACTTTCACATTCAGAAGTCTTTTTCCAAAAAAATCATAATAAAGAAAATGTACAAATAACTGCAAAAACTTCCTCGTTTCATTAGGTTTCTAAAATGGTATAATAACATATCAGTAAGCAAACCATTTAACAAAACAATATTACTTTGCCAGAAAGGACCGCTAAGCGCATGTCATTGTACTGAGCAGATAAACCGAGCCTTTCATGGTTCGACCCTTTTTGTTATTTTTTGTGCCCTGCGCCGTTATTCGGGTTTAAGCATTCGGAATCTGTCGTCGCTCCTCGGAAGCAAGCTTTGCGTGTGTTATGAATTGACACAGCTGACGGATCAAGGAAAGGGAACTAACGCTTACTATAATATCAACCTTTAACGCGGTAGGACGTACTTTTACTTTTTTGATCAGTTTTAATAATGGCGAGTTACCGTAACGAAGAGTACGCTGATATTCTGTTTTTTTATGGTTTAAGTGATGGAAATTCCGTTGAAGCCAGGCGAGAATACGAAAACCGTTTTCCGAATCGGCGAATACCGAGTCATCGAGTATTTGCCTCTGTGTACCAACGCGTCAAGGAAAGTGGACAGGTTCATGAGAGACGTCATGATGCTGGTAGACCTCGGTTGTTTGACGACGAAGATCAAGAGGCAATACTGGAATGCTACGGCAGAGACCCGACGACGTCTACACGAGTTATAGCAAAGCAGCTTGGTTCAACTCAGTGGAAAGTTTGGTTCGTTTTGCATTCGGCGAGACTTTACCCTTTCCATTACACACCGGTTCAAGTATTAGAAGAAGGAGATCCCGCAAGAAGAATTGATTTTTGTCGATACATGCTTCATCGGAATCAAGAAGAAAACGACTATTTAACTAAAATATTGTGGACCGACGAGTCTAAGTTTGACAGAGAGGGGACAACAAATTATCACAACTTACATTATTGGGCCCCACGAGAGGCAAATCCCCACATGGCAAAGCCAAGAGCCCATCAAAGAAGATTTTCGGCAAACGTGTGGATGGAAATCGTTCATACGTATCTAACTGGACCAGTTTTTTTGCCTGACAACCTGAATGGCGAATCCTATGAAAACTTTTTGAGATCCGAACTCAGGGAGTATCTCGAAGACCTGCCTCTGAATATCAAGATGCAGATGATCTACCAACACGATGGCTGATCCGCGCATTTCCGTCTGGGTGTTAGACAGTGGCTGGACGAGAAATATCCTTGTCGCTGGATTGGCCGAGGTGGACCGACACCTTGGCCAGCGAGGAGCCCAGATTTAACACCGTGTGACTATTATTTATGGAGGCACATGAAGTCACTGGTGAACGCTGAGCCCATAGACACTCTTGCACAGTTGAAAGAAAGAATTATTGCTGCTGCTGACACTATCAGAGGACAACTAGCTGGCCGCATCACGCGTACCAACATGAGAAAAAGATTACGGGCTTGCATAAGAAACGGCGGGCGTCAGTTCGAACAACAATTGCAATGAATTTTACCTTCATTTCATTATTGTATTTTACTTACCAATTGTAGTAACTTTTAGTCAGTTTTTATTATTTTGTAGTACAATTACAACTGTGTAAATAATCTAATCGTGTAACTTAACCGTAGTTTAAAATAATAACTACCCCATAGCTTACAGTTACATTATTTTCACAAAAACACTTTCTTATCAATCAGAGAGTTGTGAAAATAGGAGACAAGCCATTGGTAAATGTACTCCCTATTGTTGTATTACAATACATTATGTTTAGTTTCACACAGTTTTTTTGCACTTATCATACCAATTTAGATTCCTTATGAAACAAGGATATTATTTAAATTGTTTGTACGTTTTTTTGTATACTGATTTTTTTGTAAAACACCTTACTTACTGTAAAACGTTATTTGTTTTTCTTAGTTAAACATTTTTGAATGAAAATAAATACGTTGTTTGGTATTGTTTTCGAATCTTTTTTAATTTATAATAGTTAATTATTGAAGTAATAACCCAAAACCACAAAAAACAAATGTTTAATCGCCAACTTTTTTCTCTCTCGACTTTTTTACTCTGAAATATGGATTGTTTTTAAAAAATCTTAAATCTTCAATAACTTTTCAACCTTCGAATATAGGGTATGGTATTATATACTAATTTCGATAGCAAAGGGGCTGTACTATCACCTCCTAAAATGTTTGACACCTATTTACCTGTCACCCTGTATATATAGGTTAATTCTGACAGATGAAATAATACAACTTATGGTCCAGCAAAACCAATGTACGCGCACGTGTAATAATAGCAAATAAGAAACCACGAATATCTTCCCGCTTTTCCAGATGGCATGACACCACGAAGATAAAATGGAATTATTTATTGGTGAGTGAATAATATGTCCTTGGGTTTACGTCAACAATGTAATATTTTGGGGGTTTTTGACTTGAATTAGGGGTCTCCGGTTCATAACGTCTGTGTGTATGTTTGACCGCCTTACAATATGTCTGACTGCCTTACAATAGCCTCTACACCGATAAACAGAAAGCTTCTTTTTTACAGTTTCATTAAAATTTGGTTACAAAGATTGTGACCCTTTACGAACATATTTGTTTTATATAGCCTAATTTTACGTTTATTTTGTTTGTAATTTCTTTGTTTTTCTTTTCAGGAGTCATCAAGCTAATGGGAGTTATACATTTTCCAACCATAGAGAGCTACTGGAAAAAGACCCAATTTGTTACCACGAAGTATTTGACAAAATACCACTCAGCTACAATCGATTTACACTACTCCTCAAATGCTGGCATTTTCAGGACGATACTCTTCCGTCCACCAATAGGCTGGATAAAATAAATCCAATATTGAGCATCATTCAAAACACCATAAAAACTGTTTATTTCCTGGTGATACTGTGGTGGTAGACGAAACAATGGTGCCTTTTCGTGGACCTCTAAAATTCAGACAGTTTAATTCTTCCAAAGCTCGCTGCTCTTATGGAATCAAGCTGTACAAGGTATGTACTCCAAACAGGTATACCTGGCATGTTAAAATATACGACGGTGTATCAACCGCCATTGATGGGCTTGATTTACCAGGAAGCACTGTAGTGAGACCTCATTTAAATGAAGGCAGAATGGTAATTACTGATAACTACTACACTAGCCTGCAACTTGCAAAATATATGTATGATCAATACACGCACCTATTGGGAACATTACGCAAAGATAGGCTTGGAAGTAATTATACACAAAATACGCAAGGGCGAAATAATCTCAAGACAAAATGGCTATATTACTGTTTCAAAATGGAAAGATGAGCGTGACGATCTTTTTCTCTCAACTGTTCATGATGATGGAATGAAAACTTGTGGAAAAAAAGAAATGGCGAACATAAGATTAAACATTCTGCCATTTTGGACTACAATAAAGGAAAACAAGAGGTTGATATATCTGATCAGTTTGCCAGCTACTACACTTGTCTGATGAAGTCATTGACATGGTATAAAAAACTCGCCATAGAGATTATTTGTGGAACACTCGTTGTAAACACTCTGATTATACAGGGTGTTTCAGTTTATTGTTGCATAACTTTAAGATTCGATAGAACTTTTAAAATTAATGCATAAAGTCTATATAAACATGGGTCGAAAAATGCGTGGCTTCCGAAATACAGGGTGTTTAAATTTACTTTCTAAAATAGTTTTTTTTAAATATTTCGAACAATATTTGACGCATAACAGTGAAAATTGGTATACAAGGGTTTTTTGGTACGACAAAACGAACCATGGGCATAGTTTTACTGTAGCCGCTAGAGGGCGCTCTCTACTTTACTTGTAGTGCATTAAAATGACCAAAAATTTTTTCTTAGTGCAATTTTTTGCTTTTTGAATAAAAACCTGATTCTTAGCACTTTTCGACATAAAAAAGCTCTCTTGTGAATTTTCGTTATAGTTAGCAATTTTTGAGATATTTGGATTTTTAAGGTTCGATGCATTTTTAATTATTTATGATAAAATAACGTTAAAAAGTCAGTATCTCGATAATTTTTAGAAGTAGGCTGTGCCTGCAACTATTTTTGAATTTGAAAGCAGAATAAGGTCAAACGTCAATTAGTTGACAGTTAGTTTTGTTTGTTGAAACCTGAAACGTTATTCTGCAATTGTGAATGCACGAAATTTAGTTTCTTTTACTTGTTTTTTTTTGTAAGTTTTATAAAAATGCCACGTTTATTCTCCAATCAAGAGTTAGCGGATATTCATTTTGTGTATGGCTTTGTAAATGGAAACGCAGCAGAAGCAGCCAGAGAATACGTACGAATATTTCCAAACAGACGACATCCAACTCGCTCAGTATTTGTAAGAGTGCATCGCCAAATAATTGAAAATGGTTTTGGAAATCTCCAAAGGGATCAAAACATCAATGTTCGTCAGCGCAGATTTACCCGTATGATTTTGCTTGAGTTTGATAGAGATCCGACCACAAGTGTTAGGAGAGTTTCTGGTGCCTTGGGAATTTCAGCAAGCCATGTTCACCATGTTTTTACAAATGACCATAGACGTCCTTACCATTTGCAACCTGTGCAAGGACTACAGCCAGGGGACGGAGAACGAAGAATCACATTTTGTCAGTGGATTCTTTATATTTAGAACTGATAATAATAGGGTGTTTTTAAGTAACGTTTTATGGACCGATGAATCATGCTTCACTAGACGTGGAGTGGTAAATTTTCATAATCAACAAATTTGGTCGCATGAAAATCCGCATGCAGTTCGGGAAAGAAATTTGCAGCATGAATTTAGTGTGAACGTGTGGACTGGTATCTACCTTAATCGACTATTTGGACCCTACCTTTTGCCTGCAAGGTTAAATGCTACGACCTTCTTGGAATTTTTAAAGGCTGAACATGCAAATATGTGAGATGATGTTATGTTAGATTTAAGAAGATTGGCCTGGTTCCAGCTTGATGGTTGTCTAGCTCATTATTCGAGAATAGTTAGAAACTGGCTGGACGAAAATTATCCAGAAAGATGGATCGGCCGTGGAGGACCAGTCGCCTGTCCTCCACGATCCTCTGACCTAAACCCATTAGATTTCTTTGTGTGGGGATTTCTAAAAGAAAAAGTGTACCAGACTCCCGTAACCACAAGAGATATGCTAATAGACAGAATCAGGAATGCATGTGATGAAATATGGCCTTATTTGAATAATGCTATACCACGTTCGATCATTCGTAGATGTGAATTGTGTATTGAACAATTGGGTTTACATTTCGAGCAACTACTTTAGATGTTGTATGTTTGTCCTAACTATCCAATAGCATTTTAGTTCTAAATAATTAATTTAATTTGTTAAAAATAATATTGGAAAATTAGACAAATTAATATTCTGTTTTTTTGTGTTTATTTGGAGTTAGGAATTATTGCTGTGTTTAAAAACACAATCTACACGATCATCTTAATTACTTGCAATGCCCAAATCGAAAAAGTAAAAAAAATATTATTTTCCCAGAAATAATTAAAAATGCATCGAGCCTTAAAAATCGAAGTATCTCAAAAACGGCTAACTATAACGAAAACTCACAGGATAGCTTTTTTATGCAGAAAAGTGCGAGGAATCAGTTTTTTTATTCAAAAAGCAAAAAATTGCACTAGGAAAATTTTTTCGGTCATTTTAATACACTACAGGTACAGTAGAGAGCGCCCTCTAGCGGCTACAGTAAAACTATGCCCATGGTTCGTTTTGTCGTACCAAAAAACCCTGTATTTCGGAAGCCACGCATTTTTCGACCCATGTTTATATAGACTTTATGCATTAATTTTAAAAGTTCTATCTTAAAGTTATGCAACAATAAACTGAAACACCCTGTATATAATGCACAACGTCCAAAAAAAGAACAACTATCTCTTTTGCAAATTAGACAATCCCTTATAAGCGAGATATTAAAAAGAAAATCTAATAACGATGGCGGTTCTGGAGGCAAGACCAAAAAACTATTCGCATACTGGAAGAACTGCCTAGAGATAATAACAAACTCTACAGAAAGCGTTGCCACCGATGCTATGTGAAAATGCGCGGAAACTATTCGGCATCAGAATCTGCAAAAAAAGCCAAGAGCGTCAACACTATCTGCAAATCCTGCAATCAAGCATTAGATTAGATAACCATTAGACATATGTTAGTAATGTACGTTTTTACCTATTAAACCGAAAAAAATTAAAGTTTTGTAAAATCTTTATTTTTTAGTCGATTTTAATAATGTTTTTTTGAAGTGCCGAGTAAGAAATACTCTAACGTTCACATACAAAAAATTTGTGCCTACTACCACGTCCAACTTATAAAAGTTGTATGAATTTATGTACCACATAAGGCTCATGGATGCATGGAGAATGTGGTCCATGAGCCATATGTGGCTCATTGTACAGTCAATGAGTTAAATATAATTCCATTCCAATAAGATATCAAATCTCCACATTTATTCACCATGCCACACCACAAGACTTTATTAATTTAACCGATGGTCCACATTTAACACGGTTACTCAGGCTCCATTCTTGAAAACCTAAAACCATTATCTTTAAATAGGTTTCGATATTATTTGGAAGATACTTGATTGAAGATTAAACTTCAAATTCAAATGTACTGACATAATTTTACTATTATACTTTTTTGATACTTGGAGTAAGTGGAAGAATAGCTACATGAGCTAAACTTGGTCCTTTTTACAATGTAGAAATAAATAAAGATGATGATAATGGTTATTATTATTACTTTGTCAGATTTTGCCATATTTTCCTCGATGAAACATTATTTTGATTCAATCGAACTTGCTCACAATTAAACGAGTACATATTTCTGGCGGAACAAAATACTAATATTTGATGAGATCTTTACTGTTAAGCGTGACGCCTATGGATATCGTGGATGACAGTATTACTGCACAAAGCTCTAGTATAGTGTATGGTGTTTGCATGTGGCTGTGTATACGGCTACGCATAAATGATTTATGTCCTGAGCCCGCACACAGGATATCAAATAACAATGAGTTTATGGCGAGCAAACGATCTTACTGTGGTATACTACGTTTTCCTTAAGGTTAAGAGCCCCCTGATCAGTGGCGGTTGATAAAGTCTATTTTCTACAATTGAAGAATTGAACTCTAATGCTTGATCACAAGAGGATCAAATAAGGCATTTTACTACATTTTCATAACTCTCATCCCATAAATAGTTGCCAATAGAATGATTGAAACATTTAGGGTAGATTTCACCAGGATTGTCAAATCAACAGTCCGCTATTCTACACCTATAGGGCAACAGTCCGTCAAATACAGCGAATGAGCTTCCAATCATCAAATTTCAGCAACCAATAGTTATGAAATGTTGAAAACAAAATACTGTCAAAGTATGAGATGACAGCTTGTCATTGAAACATCACCAGCTTATTGAATATTAAGAAATTACATATAATTTAGTCAAAGTTTAAAAAAGTGTTCAATTTTATAATCAAATTCATGTTTTTATTTAATATTGTCGATTGTTTATTTTCCGGTTCGGCAACACTGCAGATGTGCAGATCACTATAAAAGCAATTGATATTCCAGACGTATTATAATAATAGAAATAACAAGAAAATATAACAATGTTTGGAGATATATTTTCATAAATAGGTATTTTTGATTCTTACTTATAATATCTAGACGATGAATAATAGATGGATGCGGATACTTTTACAAATATCGATGTTTTAGGATCCAAAAATGTGCTGTTTGTTTACATTTGGTGTGGATTTCTAGATCATAAATTGTCAAAAATTATTTTTGATGTAACAAAAGATGACGAACCAGTTGGAATACGTTTTATATCCTTTTTTTTGCAAAATAAGAAAAATCGGCACATTTCTAAAGGTACGTATTATGTACAACACCCTGTACGTGACATACAGACAAAACTAGATTGCCATGCATGAACAGTCGTCAAAAACAGTGAGAACATCCTACTACATATAATAGCTAG